TTATTTATTTATTTATTTATTTATTTATTTATTTTCCTAGCCCATTAAAGAATTTGGCAGACTGCTTTTCTCCAGCAGGCAGGATTCCTGTCAGCTGGATCATGAGCTGGAAGCTCATGCTGCGTATTATCAGAGGCATGTAGTAGTCAGTCAAATATCAAGGGTTTGCAAAAACGACAGACAGACACTGCAGGATTTTCCAACATCACTCTGTATTTCATCTTTTCTTCCTTACTAGACTTCAAAGAGCAAACTAAAGTTGTGCTCCTAATTCCTCACCTGTGTGGTTTTTCCTATGGAGTTGTCAGAGAGGGACAGGCACTGAGAAGCAAATAAGAGCATATGTAGAGCCTGATGATGTGAAGATATTTCATCATTTCTATATTTGTTGTATCTCAGTACTGCTATCTGTTCTGGCACAGCTTTGTGTTAAATGATGATCAAGGCAAAACAAGCCTTGTGACCGTCAGTCTGGATATCTAGGTATGGGAATACTATCATAAACACTGCAATTAGTCCAGAATGCAGCAGTTCTGCTTATCAGCAATGCCCACTAATGACAGGGTGTTTTTATCTGCTACTTGCCTCACCAGCTTTGGACAAAGCTGTCATATTCAAAGTCAAGAGTCCAGTTTTATTCCATTAGCTTTCTGTTTAGAGCTCTGGTTTGTGAGATTAGAAGACAAGATTTTTCAGGGAACAGGTTCCATGGCTTCAAAGGTAATTTCTGAAAAATCTGAAGATGAGGTTGAAAATGTGCCCAGATTTGGTGGAGCAAAGTGGAAGACTCAGGTTATGGTTTTAGTGTTTCCACACTGTGAAATGTGACAAGAGAAAAGAAATAGTGATAGTGGAAAGGAGAAGGAGAAAATATACAGAAGGACAAGGGGAACAGCAACAAAGGAGGAAAAAACGCCTTCATGTGAATTTGTTGAAGTAATTCTTTTTTTCATGGAGATACTTGGTGGACCATCATGATGGACCACTTACAATAACGTGGGTTATACATACCTCAGCACTCACTCTGTGGACTCTTTCCTGTAGCTCCTCCTCATGCTCAAAACCACTGTTTATTCCTTCTACTTAATGCTTCATGCCCTGTAGTCACAGTTCTCTACTCACTGCTCTCCTAGGCCGTCCTTGTGTTGATTGCCATGCATTCGAGTTCATGCAGAGGGCCCTGCAGGATTTAAAGAAGACAGCCTATAATCTAGACACACGGGTAAGGAAACATTAAATTCCTTGGGTTTGGTTTGGTTTTTAATATGGAAGAAATGCTGTGGATAGAAGTAGATAAGGTGTTCTATTTGGCACCAGACAGTCAGCTGTACTGTCTTACCTTTTAAGGTGGTGCTGGGTAATTACACTTCACTTCTGTAGGCAATAATCTGTGGAATTATTCTGATTTGGGGTATCAGGGACTGTA